TAGCGAAGGAGAACAGATCAGTGGTTGCCATTGGTTGGGGGCGAGGGGAGGGTGTGACTGCATTGGGGTAGCATGAGGGAGTCTTTTGGGATCATGGAACTGTTCTGCATCCTGATTTGGTGGTGGTTATTTAAATCTATAAATGTGTTAAAATTCATAGAACTGTATACCCCATATAGTCAAATTTATAGTATGTTAATTTTTAAAAAGTAAAAACAAAGCCCTAAAAAGTGAAGGGCCCTGTGGCAAGCATCCTAGTGTCCAGGTGTCTGAGCTGGCCTGGCCCTAGTGCTGGCCGGCTGGCACTTCCACTGAAGCACAGCATGTGTGCCCAGGCCTGCTTCCTCACTTGCTGGCCCATCATCACTCACTGGCTTTTTCCTTCCTCGTGTTAGATTGGAGCTGGAGGGAGCATCACTGGGCTGAAGTTTAACCCTCTCAATACCAACCAGTTTTTCGCCTCCTCAATGGAGGGAACAACTAGGCTGCAAGACTTTAAAGGCAACACTCTACGAGTTTTTACCAGCTCAGACACCTGCAAGTGAGTAGTTTAAATAGTAGGGGAAAGGGCTTCTAAGCTCTAAGTGTAGTTGTGACAAGAGCATCAAGATCCCCTTTACCCAAACCTGGCACAGGGAAAAAAGGAAAAGTGTTAGCCACTTTCTACCCTTCCCGCTCTTTTTCAAACTCTCTGGCTGCTCTTACTTTGGGAAGAGCCTCAGCTCTTCTCAGTAAAGGAAAGGCTTCAGCTCTTCTGTTCATCATACCTATTAATATGTTAGACTAGAGCTTGACTCTCACTAGACAAGTCAACGTGGCGTGGGCCAAGAAAGCCTCTTGGGCAATGGAGCAGGAACTAAGAACTTCAGATTTAATTCTCCCCATTCACTGACGTGAAATGACCAGACCAGTTCCTTAAGCTTAAATGGATAGAATTTTGCCCATAAATGCTCTGGACTCCCCAAGAGCAAGTGGCCGGAGAAATAACAAAATGTTTGTCACTTTGATTTCTAGCTGGAGGTATGACTCTAAGTGCTCCCTAAGGAATTAACTGAGGGTGTGGGGGTATAACTAGCACTGGATGTTATCCTAGGCTGCCTTATGGGTAAGAAATACGTGTGCATAATTAGGACAGACCCAGCTACAGGTTGCTTTAAACTTTCCTGCTTAAAGATATCCAGAGGGGATGGCAAAAGACAGTGTTGCATGGATTTGAGGGTTCAAGAGAAAAAACATGAATTGGAGCTCTCCTGGCTGGGTGTCAGCATCCCTGAATCCCCCCATCCAATCCCCCTGTCCTCAAGTAGTTGGAGGAACCAAAGAGCTTCTGGGTTGTATGTGCTTTTTTCCTTAAATGCTCAGAAGGGGGCAGAAGTTCCTTTTTGCAGCTCTGAGGAACAGAGCTGGCCAATCCCTGTTTGGTTTGTCGTCTCTTTGGCTCACAGTGGAGAGTGAAGGGAGAGAACAGTAAATGAGGCTTCCAGAGAACGTGGAGCTGTGGGGCACAAGCTTGCCTGGGGACTTGCCTGATGGTTCTGAGCTTTGCCTGCTTCAGGGACTCCTACTAGCTGAAGTTCCTGGGCCCAGCAGTAACTGGACAAGTTTCTGAGCCCCATCATCCCAGTCCCTATAGATGGATGGTAGACAAGTCTGAGTGTTCAATTCATGGCAAGGCAGTTATTCATTCATTCAACAAATATTTATTGAATGCCTAAACTGTGGGTTAGACACGGGGGCTGCAACGGTGCATAAATGGACCTATCTCTGTCCCCAAGAATCTTACAACATAATCTCTCCCTCCAGCGTCTGGTTTTGTAGCCTGGATGTGTCTGCCAGCAGCCGAATGGTGGTCACAGGAGACAATGTGGGGAACGTGATCCTGCTGCACATGGATGGCAAGGAGGTGCGTTGTCTGTAGCCCAGGTCCTCCCTTTTCCTCCCTTACCCCCACCTCGGTTCTGTGTCCCCACCTGAACCGAGCTCTTCTCTGCAGCTTTGGAATCTCAGAATGCACAAAAAGAAAGTGACCCATGTGGCCCTGAACCCATGCTGTGATTGGTTCCTAGCCACAGCCTCCGTAGATCAAACAGTGAAAATCTGGGACCTGCGCCAGGTTAGAGGGAAAGCCAGCTTCCTGTACTCGCTGCCACACAGGCATCCTGTCAACGCAGGTGTGATATCCTGTATCTCATCTCTCCTGCAGACCCTGCCTGTCTAACCACTGCTGGGGTTCCTCCTCAGTGTGGAAGCCACTAGATCAAACGTTTACCCCTGATAGCATCCGCCAAGCTGTTGTCTTAGAACCTTTATGACTCTGGCTGCCACCATCAGCTGCTGAGTTTCTAGGATATTTTTGTTGGCAGCGCAGATTCACCTCTTCCCTCCCACTCCTGTCTGGAGAGGAGTGGGAGGGAGGGTGCCCCTGCAAGAGAAGGCCTCCGAAGCCCAGGCCATCAGGGGGCTCGTGGTTCCTTCAGCTCAGGGGCTTTTCACTTTACCAGCTTGTTTCAGCCCTGATGGGGCCCGGCTCCTGACCACTGACCAGAAGAGTGAGATCCGGGTTTACTCTGCCTCCCAGTGGGACTGTCCCCTGGGCCTGATCCCGCACCCTCACCGTCATTTCCAGCACCTCACACCCATCAAGGTGAGTGACAAGAGTGAAAGGAGCTTGCAGAAGGGATCTGTGATCATGAAGACAGCCAGGTGTGCCCACACTGGGGAGGGGCAAGTGTGGCGAGCCTACAACCCCACATCTCTTCTTCCTTTTTTTGAGACAGAGTCTCACTCTGTTGCCTGGGCTAGAGTGCCATGGCGTCAGCCTAGCTCACAGCAATCTCAAACTCCTGAGCTCAAGCAATCCTTCTGCCTCACCCTCCCGAATAGCTGGGACTACAGGCATGCGCCACCATGCCCGGATAATTTTTTCTTCGATATATTTTTAGTTGTCCAATTAATTTCTTTTCTATTTTTAGTAGAGACAGGGTCTCACTGTTGCTCAGGCTGATCTCGAACTCCTGACCTTGAGCGATCCTCCCGCCTCGGCCTCCCAGAGTGCTAGGATTACAGGAGTGAGCCACTGCCCGGCCCCCACATCTCTTCTTGCCCCTACACAAAGCATCTCTTATCCCTTTGGCTCTCTACACTCTTATCCCACTTCTGCAATCTCATTTTGTTGATTTTTCTTTATGTCTCTCTGATAAGCTATTTTCCTGATCTCACTGTGGGCATTTTCTAAGGTCCCCATCCTCTGTTCTGTCCTCTCAGTTTCGGTTGCCTGTGTGTGCACTTAATCTACAAACTAACCTTCACCATCTTAATTGACTTGCAGGTTTCAGTGACTTCTAAAAATAGAAATAAGTCCTTTATTTTCTCATCTTTTCTCAAGTTCTTGCTAATGGCTTCTCTATCCTTAGTCCCTAAGACTTTCCTTCTTGCCCAAGCCCCCATGCAGCTTGAACTCTGCCAGCTGTGCTCTAGTAGTGTATTCTTTTCAGAGTCACAGATCCTCTTCAGACCTTCAGGTTTCATACCTATACTTCTCTGGTCAGTATAACATAGTGGTGGGAAGCACCAACTTTAGGCAGTGGGACACCCCTAGGTTAGAATCCTTGGGCAAATTACATAAATTTTTTTTTGTCTTTGAGACAGGGTCTCACTGTGTCACCCAGGCTAGAGTGCAGTGGCTATTCACAGGTGCATTCATAGCTCACTGCAGCCTCAAACTCCTGGGCTCAAGCAGTCCTCCCACCTCAGCCTCCCAAGTAGCTAGGACTACAGGCACATACCACTGTGCCCAGCTAATCTTTTTTATTTTTTAGAGATGTGGTCTTGCTGTGTTGCCCAGGCTGGTCTCAAATTCCTGTCTCAAGCAATCCTCTCACCTCAGTCTCCAAGAAATTACTTACCATTTTGGATCTGTTTCCTTATCTGTGAAAAGGGAATAATAGTCTAACTGATAGGGTTGTTGTGAGGATGAATCAGTATACTTAAAGCACTTGGCACCATGCCTTGTTCCTGGTAAGTATTAATGATGATGATCTAGTACTGAGTGGCCCCCATGTACCACAGATCAAATCCAGGCTCTTAATAAATAATACCAAGAATCCTCCCCCAGCTGGTATTCCATCTGTCCTCCTCTCCCACTCTATATCCAAACAGGCTACCTTACAGCTTCCCATGTGTGATTTATTTATTTCTAAGCCATTGCATGTACCATTTCTTCCTTCCTGCTAACTATGTCTTTCCTCTTTCCAAACTTCCTTGACAAGTTTTATTAGAAGAATCTCATCCAATTCTGTCATTCCAGTAACTGCCAAATTTTTTTTCATTGGGGGAATCTGGGGAACATGGATAGCCTCCCCGTTTTTAGCCACTAGAGATTTTATGTTCAACTTTTAGTTATTCACGTTAATGGAAGAAGGGTAGTAGTGGGGTTCCTTCAGAACTTATGTCCCATTTGGTTTTGGTTACCAGAGGCTTTTAGCTTTGTTGTAGGCTTACCTCTTAGGTCAGTGTCTGGGTCAGGCTGATGTTAAAACATTTATCAGTTGGTATGATCTCAAGAAATGCAAAAGAGAGAGAAAGCCTGAAGGTGTCCTAAGGGCCAGGGAGGTTAGCTGGGGATTGAAAATTGCAGTGGTAGATGTACTCACAATTGAAAACCATTCTTATAATTTCACATAGGTCTTATCTCCATTATTAAGTTGTTAGCTTGTTAGTGGCAAAGAATATTTCTAGTTCCCCTCTTGTTAGTCTTCTGTCTGCATTTACTCTCATGACCAGCCTTTCCATTTCCTAGGCAACCTGGCATCCTCGGTATAACCTCATTGTTGTGGGACGATACCCAGATCCTAATTTCAAAAGTTGTACCCCCTATGAATTAAGGACGATTGATGTGTTTGATGGAAACTCAGGGAAGATGATGTGCCAGCTCTATGACCCAGAATCTTCTGGTATCAGCTCGGTGAGGCATGGGCCTTCAAATAAGGATGGGAGGAAGCAGGGATTCAACCTACTTTATTGACCAAAAATGACCAGAAATTACTCCTTGTCTGCCCTTGTTTGTCTGTCAATACCTTCACCCCCTCCTCATGCTGCTATTCTTATCTCTGCAGCTCAATGAGTTCAATCCCATGGGGGACACGCTGGCCTCTGCAATGGGTGAGTAGAAGCAGGATGTATCAGACTGGCCAAGCCCAACCCTGCTCCCCAAGGTTCAGTGCAGGCTAACCTCAGCCTAGCCCTGCTGCATTCGCTTCAGGGCAGCAGCCAGTAAAGATGACAGTAGTCCCTTTGGCCTAGGCCCTCCACCCCTCTTGCTTTGTCTTGGTCATGGCAATGCCTGGCTGCTGCCCAGTTTTCTAGTATTTCCTTACCAAATCCTGGGTGCCCTGGGCCAGCCCCAAGCTCTCAGAGACTGATGATGGAAGGTACAAGTCAGACTGGTCTCCCTCCTCCTAGGTTATCACATTCTCATTTGGAGCCAGGAGGAAAATGGGACACAGAAATGAGAAGACACTAAAGAAGGTGTGGGCCAAACAAGGGCTTGGAGCCCACAATGGGAGCAAGTCCTACACGAAGAGGTGGCTGTTTGCTAAAGGTCCAAAAGTATTCAAGTCTTAGGGTTGGAGCATGGGCACTGTGGCATTGGGCATTTCGGGACTGGGACGCTGGCACGTTACTACTCTGGACTTAGCTCCAGGAACTTCTCCAAAGTTGGTGACCTAGCTGTCCCAAGGGTCCCTGCTGTATCTAGCCTGGAGCCAAGCTGCTTTTCTCCTCTCTTATGTACAATAGCAGAGTGATCAGGTAGTATTTTTTGATTTGTGCTCACTGTTGACATGGCCAATAAAACCATATCCAGCTGAGCTGAGTGGATCTTCTGGGAGTGCCGTGGTCGAAGGGTTCTGTGGGTCTCAGAAATGAAAAGGAGCACAGAAACAGCACTAACAGTCCAAAACTTTCATTCTCTGGGAGTTGCCTCAGCCCTGTTCTGGGCCACAGTCAGGAACTGTGCCACTCACAACCTGCAGTGACCTCAGGTCCCCGGAGACCCCAGCTCTGCTCAAGGGGAGAACATTTCATGATTCTATGTGACAATTCAGCCCCCGCAGTCTTCACTGTCCCCCAAGTACAAATACCCTTTGATCTGCTCAAGCTGAAGGGGTGACTGATCCAGTTCCTTGGTAGCCAATGTTTGTACCCCTAGCGTTGTGCAGTTTTTCCTACTAAAGTAAGCACTGAGAGGCAAAACTGGCCTCTGAGCTAATTGCCAAAGACCCCAGGCTGGAAGAGAAAGAGCAGGGCTTGATGGAAGAGCAAGGCGGATCAGGCACCACTCTGTCAGTTTCTTTATCCCAGGTCCTGAGTGAAAACTGAATACCTGCTTACATCTCAGGTACTTAGGGAGCGTGGAGGCAAATCCTGTTTGGAGAAAGCCAATGTCCAACACAGTACTTGATAAACATCAGACGTGTGGATGCTGAGTGACAGGTGCCATAGCCAAGCCAAGCCCCACTTGCTCATATGGCTGGGGTAATGAGAGGGAGGCCCAACCTGGGGTCTCCTGTCCATGGCTGATGAGCAGCAACAGTCAGGAGCAAGGGCCCAGCCCACCTCCCCTAGGAGGCAGAGGGAAGCGGGCTGAGTGGTTGTCAGGCATGGTCTTCCCCGTCTGCGACGTGGCGGTAGCCAGGAGGCTGGGCCTGCATCCGGAAGAGGATGGTGAGGAGCAGCACTATGAGAAGGAAGAGGATGGAGCCACATACAGCCAAAGCCACGATCACCTCTGGGCATGGGGAGAGGGAAAGAGAAAGGTCATTATTAGCATTCATTCAACAAATATTTGAGCATCTACCACATGCTGTTACCACATACATCTACCACAGGTACTGTTCTGACATGCAGGGGATATACAAGCAAAGTCTGCTCTCATGGAGTTTACATTCTAGGAGAGGAGATCTAAGAAAGTAGCAAATGATAGGAATGAAACTTAGTGACAATGCTGGAAAGAAAAACAAAACAAGGTAGGTCAGTCACAGAGGGCATCATGGAGAAAGTGAGAATTTCAAGAGACCTGGAGCCAATGAGTGAGACACACGAAAATCTGAGAGAACAGCATCTTGGGACAGAGGACAGGAAGCAAGTGCAAGAGATCCTGATGTGGGAATAAGCTTGGCATGTTCTAGGATCAGCAAGAAAGTCAGTATCACTAGAGCAGAATAAGCAAGGGGCAAACAGGCCTGGAAAACCATGGTAAAGAACTTGGATTTTGCTCCATATGTGATGGGAAACCATTGGAAGATTCTTAGGCTAGTGATGTGAACTGATTTATGCTTTAAAAAATCAACTCTGCTGTGCTGAAAGACTAATAGGGACAAGAATAGAATTAGAACATTAGGAAGCTTTTCAGTAGTTCAGACTAGAGCTGATGGCAGACTGGACTAGAGAGATAAGCATCTGTTTAAAAGGTTAAGCTAATAGGATCTGACAGTGGACCAGATGTGAGGTACTAGAAAGAGGGTATTCTGAAACAACTCCGAGGGTTTTACTATGCCACTAGGTGACTAATGTGCCATTTACTCAAACAGAGAAGCCTGGAAGAAGAGCAGATTTGGGAGAAGAGCATTTGGTTTTAGATATAGCAACTGTGAGATGTCTCATTTTTTTTTTTTTTTTGAGACAGAGTCTCACTTGGTTGCCCAGGCTAGAGTGATTCCCATGGCCTCAGTCTAGCTCACAGCAACTTCAATCTCCTTCCTGGGCTCAAGTGATCCTCCTGCCTCAGCCTCCCGAGTAGCTGGGATGACAGGGATGTGCCATCATGCCCGGCTAATTTTTTCTATATATATTATTTGGCCAATTTATTTCTTTCTATTTATAGTAGAGACAGCGTCTCGCTCTTGCTCAGGCTGGTTTTGAACTCCTGACCTCGAGCAATCCGCCCGCCTCGGCCTCCTAGAGTGCTAGGATTACAGGCGTGAGCCACTGCACCCAGCCAAGAGATGTCTTATTTGATATCCATGTAGAGACTTCAATTTAGCAGCTGGATATGAATCTGTAAGCTCAGAGAAGAGGTTATGAGTCTGTAAGTCATGACATAAAGATGGAACTTAGCATGGAGATGGCATGCAAAGCCACGAGGTAGGATAAGATCACCTTGGGAGTGCGCACAGATGGAAAAAAGGGCCAGGGATGAACCCAGGGCAGTTCACTGTTTAGTGGGGAGGGGAAGCCAGTAAGGAAGCTGCGTGAAAGTTAGGAGAAAAAACTCTTTAGCCAAGAAAGTGTTTAAGGAAGGAGTGCCCAATTATGTAATGTTGCTGAAAGGTAAGAGAAGCTAAGAATTGGTCATTGGCTCTTTTTTTTAAGAGGAGGTCAGTGGTCACCTGACAAGTGTGGCTTCAATGCTGTGGAAGGTGACAAGACTGCCTGATGTGAGTCTGGGAGAATGCGTGGTAAGGAAGTGAAGCTGAAGTGTAGACAACTCTTTCAAGGATCCGACTCTCAAAGGGGACAGAGAAACAGTGGTAGCTGAGGAAGATGTGGGTCTCAGAGTCTGTCTTTGTTAGGCTTTTGAGATGGGAGTGATCCAGTAGAGAGGGCAGCTCTGAGGTATCAGAGCTCCTTGTGGAGGTGGGAAGAGACAGACCTGCTGTGTGAGTGGAGAGGCTGGCCCTAAGTTAGCAAGTAAAGCTGGTAGATCTGGTGGTGGGAGAATGAGCCACTTCTCTCCTGGTTGTTCTTATCTCAGTGATATAAGAGGTGAGAGAGTGGCCGGGCGTGGTGGCTCTCTGGGAGGCCGAGGAGGGCGGATCGCTCGAGGTCAGGAGTTCGAAACCAGCCTGAGCAAGAGCGAGATCCCGTCTCTACTATAAATAGAAAGAAATTAATTGGCCAACTAATACATATAGAAAAAATTAGCCGGGCATGGTGGCGCATGCCTGTAGTCCCAGCTACTCGGGAGGCTGAGGCAGCAGGATTGCTTGAGCCCAGGAGATTGAGGTTGCTGTGAGCTAGGGAGACGCAACGGCACTCACTCTAGCCTGGGCGACAAAGCAAGACTCTGTCTCAAAAAAAAAAAAAAAAAAAAAAAAGAAGTGAGAGTGAACAGGGGAAAAGGTATAAAACAATCTCGGGGAATTGCAGTCAGATGGCTGGAAGCACAACAACCCTCGGATTTATGGATGTGAATTGAAAGTTGGTCTGGGCGTGACTAGCATGGGGTAGAAGGCAGCTCACCTGTGTCTGCAGGACCACTCGCCAGCTGGCATTCCTGCTGCCAATCCTTGGGCACGACAGCCTCTGTGAGGCGAAGGAAGTCCTGCAGTGGGCAGCGATGAGGGCAGCCAGGCAGGATCAGCGGCCAGGGGCCCTTACCACTCTCGTTCCGAAAGTACATCTCCACGGAGAAGTTCCTATGGGTTGACAGGAAGCAAGATGGGAGCTGCTCAGCATGCCTGTAATTGAGTTCTTGGGCTGCTCTCAGCCACCACCCGACAGCCCCTGCAGAAGATCCACTAGTAGCTCCACTCACCCATTATCTTCCTGGTACAGTTCAAATATGTGGCAGGAGGCATAAGGGGCTTGTTCACCATTGTAGACGTCCAGTGCCATTTGCAGAGCAACCAGGGTGGTGTCGTGCTGTAAGGGAGAGGGGCTCCCCATCAGCACTGCTTGCCGGCACCCCCAGAAAGCAAACAGGAAATCTAACTCCTTGCTTGACATGAGCATGCTGAGGAGTAAAGGAACTTACCGCAGAGTAAACCAGCAGCTTAGGGAGTTGGGAGGTGGTTGCCATTAGGGTCAGGTTCTTCCGTATCTGAGCCAGCAGGACTCCTAAAGGAGAAAGGTCCCCAGTGTCAGTGGCTGCCGCCATCACTGTCTTCTGATCTGACCTATTTGTGCTCCTCTTGCCCTCTGCTAGTCCTGTGTCTGATCAACACAGACACTTGAGGTTCATGAGAACCAGGTAGTACCCCTGTTTTCTAAGAACTCTCAAATTTACAGAAGGAACCAAGATAAAACAACGTATCTATCTATATATTTCAACACAGAGGTAGAAACCTACCAGTTTACAAATGAGCTATGAGTCCCTGCCCATGTTGGAAAAAGTACTCCAGTTCGGAACAAATGTAAACTTAAGATTGCTTCCAAACACACAGAGGGTGGCTCCATGCCAGCATGACTGCCATATGCAGGCTCTGAAAAACTGAGCTGTCAAAAAGGTTTAGCAGCTGGCATGCCCTTGGGTGCTCAAATGAGGAAACTGCCATGTGTGCTACTCAGCCTTCTCTCAAAATGGCCCCCAGTGGTTCTCTGGAGACAGCTATTCATTTAGAAGGAGGGTTTTCTAACGTGGGTGAAGCTTAAGAATGTGAGTAGCAGCAAAGAGCATGCAAACCTGATTGTGGTCACACAGTGACACATGGGCTAAGAAACAGCAGGAGAATTGGGAAGTAATGGGGTAATGAGGTGGGGATCTGGGTTTGAAAGAGCAGAGAATGTTTCAGTAGAGAAGGAAGCTAGTGAGAAGCCCCCAATAGCAGGTTTTTAATGCTGTAGGGTCCCGAGGGAGAGCGTGACATGCTGCCCCTGTCACTCACCCCCCTGAAGCCGGGCCTTCTCTGCCTGCTCGTAGATCCCGAAGAGAAAGCGGAAGCTGAAGTCCTTTAGCCGGCTCAGACGCTGCATGGTTTGGGGTGAGGCCCAGGGCGGCAGGACCAGCCCGTGTGTTTGCTGTGTATCGCAGCAGGCAGATTAGCTCCCTGGACCTAGGCCAGAGCCTCTCTCCTGGGGTAGCTCTCTTCCCCAGTGGGAAGGTGCCTGTGTGTGTGATGGAGGGAGGGAGAGGAGAGGTGAGGTGGAGGGGCTGGAACGGTAGCATGGCAGACAGTGTTGAGGCTGCAGGGCACAGGAAAGGAAGCTCAGGCACGCAAAGTGAGACTCAGCAGAAAGGAGTCTGACACCATGAGAGCTCTGGGTGGAGAATAGGGACTGCTGACAAGTAATAAACCATTTCCCACTCTGAGGTTCTTTTTCACTTGTTAGGGAAGTTCCCATGTTTCACAAGCAGCAGCTTGCCTAGACTTCCCCAGTGGGAATGATCTCGTCCAGGCATTGTGTTCTACTGTCATGGGGGCCCAGGCCTGTTGAGGGGGGAGAGAAGAAGGATCACAGCAGGCACCTTAGTGGGCTCACCTCACAGAAGAGCGTGTCATAGACATTCCAGACAGTCTCCAGTGTCAGGTCTGTGAGCCCTGTCTCATTGGCCACCATGTCCAGAAATTGCTATGAAAAACGGTCAGAGGATCAGTGCTGCCCTGGGGGAAAGGCAGTCTGATGACCCCAACCTCGGCCCCCACTCACTGCATTCTGAATGCTCTCGTTCTGATACTCTGGTGTCCGCCGGGTCTCATTCTGCAGCTGCTCATAACGGGGACATGGACCTAACGGGAACTTCAGCAGCTGTAGACCAAAGTGGGGAAATAGGCAGAAAAGGAGTCTGGGATCAGTAGGCTCATGGCAGAGCTGTCCCCTCACTACCTCCAGGGAAGGGTTGGCCAGTCTCACCCTGTCCTCAGTAATGGGCACAGTGTGCACAGGGATAGGCTGCCATGAGATGTTTGGGTTGAAGCGCTGCATCCCGCCGGGAGGGAAGAGTCCAGCCAGGTTGGCCTCAGCACTCATGAGAGTACGGTCAAAGTCTGTGCTTCGTACGTAAACCTGCAGAGATGGCAACACAAGTCGTGTGTGTGTGTGTTTTGGGTGGGGAGTGGGGCTTTCTTTGGCCACTCAGTAGAGTCCCAGAGGAAGAACCTGTTCTTGATGGTTACCTAGCAAACTATAAACCCACCATGCATTGGGCCCTCCCCACCTTTTTGGCCTTCCCCATCTCTCAAAGGCCCCAACACTCCCCTAGGGGTGGAGGCCTTCACCATCCTGAAGAACTCCTGTGGGAATGGCACTAGTTCACATGCTCCTTCCTCCCAGCCCCAAATGCTTAGCCAGTGAGGCTTTCTGGTCTGTCTGTCTGATTTTATAACAATGTCTGTCTCCCTATCCAGACCAATGTTCTTGAGGGCAGACACTATCTCCAATCACTCTCAATCCCCCCTTTATAAACTGGCTTAAGACCAGAGAGAAAATATAAAGAACAGAGATAGTGGCTTGTGAAAAGGGAGGAGGAAAGTGGAGAAGGACAAGTTCATGATGGTGCTGGGCCTCAAGGGAACAATAACAACACCTGGAGACTTCTAAGGCAGTTGTAGCTGAGAGGTAAGCAGAGGAACAGCTACCTCCTTCCCTGGGGTGGGGAGAACACCTCAAGGAGCCAGTACACTTGCCAGTCTTCCCTGATGTGCCCTATCGATGTATGTCTTCACCCTTTATTTTGGCCCTGTCTGGTTTATCATCTGCCATCCTCACTATATTCTAAGCTCCATGAAGTGGAGCTCCAGTGGTGCATCTGAGTGGTGCACCATTGTGTGCAAAGTGCTAGCAAAGTGCTAGCCTGTTAAGTGCTTGGCCCTTAACAGGTACTCAATAAATGTCTTGGCTGGAAAGCCTGTTATTTCAGAGTCAGAAACCACTTTGCTAGGACCTTCCTTAAGTCTGAGTTTGGATGCTTGATCAGTTTTGCCTCTTCCCAGCCAAGCAAAGGCAACTCAGCTTCTAGGGCTATGTTTCAGATAGCTCTTAAATGTCTTGCCTGTGGGTGTAACCAGAAATGCAGGAAGGAGGCCAAAGTGCCCAGCCCCACCCTTAGGCTCCCTGAAGGCGGAAGATGAGGACAGCACATCCCATTCCCGTTGTCTCTTGAACTGCCAGCCTTACCTCTTGCCGGTGGTAAGAGGTGTTTAGAAAGCCATGGTAGCGCTGTCGCAGAGCCTGGCCCAGCTCCCAGTGCTGTAGCATCCCCTCCTGTGGGCAAACCTGAGGGTTAAGAAGGTCTGGAGGGAAGGGATGGCTCACAAGCCCCATGGGGTTTAGGAACTGTTGCTTTCCAGGTTTATCCCTGACGGGAAGTAGGAGTGGGTTAATCTGATCCCAAAGGTCATTTATTAAGTGGCCAGTTGTGCACAGCACTGTACTGGACACAGACTAAAGTAAGGTTATGAAATCTGGTCAAAGTCAGCACCCGTGTGGGAAATAAACAGCAGTTGAGTGAGGCCTCAAGTTCTCTAGCCTGCTCTCGAGGTCACTCATTCTACAGCTCAAGTGGAGGGAAGGCTGACTTCTGACCCACCTTGGTTAACTGACCAAACCCCTGGGGCCAATCTTCTTCCTGATAGGGGTCCTTGGGATATGTCTTCACTGGTGAACGGTCTCCATGTCGGTACAGCTGAGGAAAGAACATGGTTTGTCTATAGGTCAGGAGGGTCTCCCTGATGGGGACATAGAGCCTACCTTTGCCCAATGTTAGGCAAGGAAGCCTACCCATTGCAAAAGACCCCAGTTCAGGAGTCAGTAACTTCTTCCAGGCTCCAGAGATTCTAACTTGGCTAAGTGAAAAAAAGATCGCCAAAGGATTCTTAGGAATGAGTCTCTTAACCATTTAACTACTAACCTGTCCCAGGGTAGACTCAACCCCAAGCTACCCCTTGATACAGAACTCCTTATTTGGACACTCTGCTCCTCCCAAAAACCCAAGGCAGCAGATTAATAGATCAACCTAACACCCAGGCCAGTCGTCCCCTCCTAAGCCAGTGCCTCTTTCTCTGAGACCTCGGACCCCCAGCAGCGGCCTTTGCGCTTCTAGCTCCAGCGAACTCTTTGGTAACCCCGTCCCTCCTTACCAAGGTTACGAAGCGCAGACTCCGGGCCTGGGTGGGTGGCATTACCAGATTCACGCCAAGAAGGAGCTGCAGAAGTGCCACCCGGCTCCAGCCGGGTCGTCGGCCCGCCATCACCGTTGTAGTGTATGCTGCAAAGGGGCTGGAACCCGCTGGGTGGTATCTGCAGCAGCCGCACGGACGCAGCCGAAAGAACACACGCCGGAAATGCGCTTGCCGCCATCTTGCTTAAGGATGGGCGGGGATGGTGGGAGAAAGCGCAATCTGCGAGAGAATGCGTGTGGGAGGTTAGCGATCTGGCCGCGGCAGAGGAGCTTGGGAATGTAGCGCGACCTCGCGCGGCAGACAGGATTTGAAGACCTCAACTTGGTAAACAGGGCCATGAGCTCAGGATTGCGTCGGCCAGGGGAGACCCCGTACCAAGGTGGCACTTGCACTGGGCGGAGCGATGGCCGGGAGAGCGAGCGCCCCCTCTGGCCAGGGTGGATGCAGAACCTGCGCGGCGGGGGATAGGAAAGTATAGGGCGCCTGTCTCCACGCCCCTGCCTTTGGGTGGAGTTTGAGCCTTGGCCCTCGATCTGTTCCCTGGGAGAGGTCTTGTTCCTGGTGCAGGGCACATCATGCAAACAGCCCTTTGGACTCCCTGTGTCCTTGAGGTTGCTCCCATTCTAGCCTACCTCTCATGCCCTGAGCAAAGCTTCTCCTTCCAGTCCTTTCCCTGTTCTCTCTCCCGTACTTCCAAGTTTTAGTTAATTAGAATCAAGACACCATGCCTCTTCCCAAAGGAGTTGGGTTGCACAGGATGTTCAGACTTTCCAAACCCATTGAATCCTAGGGGAATAGTTTCAGACCAGAGGGGAGATATTTTGGGGTAAGGGGCAGGCATATTATGAAGAGGGAGTAGATGGGGTTTCCGCAGAATCAGAGGCCCTCTTGGCATTGGCCATTAGAATTCAGATGTAGGCAGTTTGGCCCCAGGACTTTATGACTCTGAGCTTGGAGTGACGCACAGTTTCAGGAGATCAGACCCTTGGGATACTTTGATTCATATCTGCCCACTAGAAGCAAATCATTTCAGATCTTGGGGAAACAAAATTCATCAGAACTGTCTCCTTATTTTGCCCCAGGAACTCCAGATCCATTATATATAGATACCTCAGGATCTAAACCTTGCTTCCGGAGTTGTCATGGAGGAGTCTGAGGAGTGAATAGATTAAGAACTGAAGGCTGGGTAGCCAAATAGTTGAAATAGTTTTTTTTTTTTTTTTTTAAAGAGATGGCTATCTTGCTCTGTTGCCCAGGAGTGGAGTGGAGTGACACAGTCATAACCCCCTATAGCATGGAACTCCTGGGCTCAAGTGGTCAGTCTCCCAGATCACTGGGGTTACAGGCATAAGCCATAGTGTCCAGCAGTGTTCTTAACCTTATTTAGTCACAAGCCCGTTTATGAATCAGATGAAAACTTTGCCCCCTCTCCTCCAGAAAGATGTCCACACACACAAGTATATTTTCAAAAGGTTCACAAAGACCATTTGTAGGTTTCATAAATCAGGATCTCTGAATCCCTGATCTAACCTAGTCCTCTTACTTTACAGATTAGAAAACAAACAAACAAAACTTCCAGAGAGTGGAAGGGACTTGCCCAAGCCCACACAGTTAAGGAGAATGGATTAAAACCCAAGTTTTGTGCTTCCGAGGTTAATTAATGTTTATAATGGGTTGGTTTTTGCAGGCTACTCAAACTGCATTACTAAACTATATTTGGTGGCCCCAAAATAACTTTAAGAAAAAAGAAATTTCCATCAAAGGAAACCTTTTCACATTAGTGGGACTGAATGGGACATGGCTAATTGGCAAAATACATCATGTATTAGTGTTTTTTTTTTTTTAATGTTTTGTTTTAATGTGCTCCTTACTGTCCTTGCAAAGTAGCCAGACCATTGTGCTTTCAGAATGTAAATCTTTGGCTCACCCAATTTTAGCAGGTAGAAAAAAATCCCTTGTCGACGGAAAAAAAAGCCAAGTCTACAAAATAATTTTAAAGAGATTTATTCTGAGTCAAATTTGAGGACCATGACCCGGAGCCACTGCCAAGAGGCCTTGGGCAAGTGGACTCGCTGTGGCTGGGTTACAGTTTGGGTTTTATACATTTTAGAGACAAGGGTTATGGGTAAAGCCATCAATCAATGTGTGGGAGGTATACATTGGTTTGGCCCAAAAAGGAGGGCCATCTTGAAGGGGGGGGGGCTTACAGGTTATAGGTGGGTTTAAGGTTAAAGATTCTTTAGATAGTAATTGGCTAAAGACATGAAGCTTTGTCTAAAGAGGTGGAATGTTTTAACATAAACTGTTTACCAGAGGTAAGCCACCATTTATTGCAAATAGAAGGCCTGCAGGTTTGTCTTGCATACCCTCAGGCCTGTTAATGGGTTACAAAGGAAGTCTCCAAGAAGGGAGGGGGGCATGATAAGGCCTGTCTGACCTCCCTCCTCCTGGCAGGCAACTTTGCCCTAGAATATTCCTCTGGCCACGAGGGGGTCCATTCAGTCAGCTGGTAGGGGTTGAGGATTTTAGTTCACAATTCCCCCCTTTTGGCCAAGATCTGTCATAGGCAACATCTATGGCCAAACTTTTATTTTGTCCCATCCGTTGCCAGGGTGGTGTGGCTACCTGCCCTGGGTCCATCTAGTCCCTCGGTGGGACCCTTGTGGTCAAGAGGACAGAAGAGCCAAACTGGGGCTTATAGCCAATAAAATAAGCCATACAGGATGGGAGGTAGACAGGCACTAATTGATACGCTAAAATTCTTTAGATGACATAAGAGTAAAATGCAAAATATTAAAGGCAAGGCTACAAAACTAATTTACCTACAAGTATTGAGATATACTATATTCTTGGGTTTAGTGGTAGACTTGTAGCAAATATAAGCATCATTAATTAACATTTAAGCTAAGGAAGTTTAGTAATTTATACTAAGGTGGCTGATAAATTACTCATTATATTTTCTTTTGTATAATCTATAACTGATAAAAATTACACTCAGTAAGTTTTAAGTTTATAAAAAGCAGGAAAAAAAAAGAACTTTTATGATTGGGATGGATATCTGCAGCATGTGGCCTGAAAAGACAAAGTATTTCTTTTAGTATTCCTTTAGGCTTTTGCGTGTCCCTCCTATATCTGGAGGGTAACTAATTCCATCCCTCAGAATTGGCCCTTACAATCTGGCACGCCCCCTCTAGCGCGATATTCCCTGGGCTCAGAGGGAGGATATTTGAACAAGGCTTTAGCAGATTCCATGGTTTTAAGGTCCCATAGATCAGGTAAACTTGCTAATTACCTAAAATTTGTCAGGACTCAGGAAAACAAAAGAATTAGTAATGTTTTAAATAAAGAGTCTTTATATGAAAATTTAGTTTAGTCTCATGAGGTTTGAGTTAGCTATACTCATGGTCATATCAGATTTTTAATTAAAGTCTTAGAACTTTGGTTTGTTTTACTCCAGTGGTATATATAATCTCTAAAGTTATTAGAAACCAGTATTTAAGTGGATTTGTCAGTCCTTTCCATGGCCTTTACTTGAAGAAGCCAATTTTAGACTTAGCCAGAAAGAACCACTCTCTGAAATGAATCAAAGTAAAATAATAACTTAAAAGATGATAAAACTTGACCAGCCATGGTTACAGACAGTTGACAAACCAAATTGGTTATGTGACATACAGCAATTTACATAACCATAATTATTATTGATACACATACCAAGACATGCCAATAATTTACAAAACTAGTATATTAATAACATACTTATACAAGTACAGCCCAAAGAAAATTAAACACCATTTTATATTTGACAATGTTCCCTGGATGGTTTTGACACATTAAATAAATCTAATGTCTTTCTTAGACTTTTAGTGATCCTAATGTATAAAAAGCTAGTTTAAGGTCAAAAGGCTGGATTTAGAATTTAACTTTTGGAAAGGTCATCAAATATCAAAGGCTTAAAGCATTTGTTCATATATAATCACAAACCACTATAAAATAATTTAACAAAGAAAGAGAGACATCAAATAAATCTAAAGGTGATAAAGTTATATGGATATAAATCTTAACCCTTTTTTTTTAGTTTTTCTAGTTAGAACCTAATAAAGAGAGCACAGGCATTATCTGACAAAGTATAAAATGTTTTACCAAAGCATAAAATGCCAATTACCAAAATTAAACAAAACCTTTTTGTACTACACTACTTTTTATATTAAAAGGAAAAAAATGTTATAAAATTAAATTGAGTACACATCATGTTATTTCATTAAGAGTAAATTAATATTGACAGAAATCTTTGTTTTAGCCAAAATTCTTTAATAAATTTTCTTTTATAAACTTTATTCTCACCTGCACATACCATACACCATTTACAAAACATACCTTAAAACTTTCGATTTTGTCCTAACATTCCCTTTTCCTAAATAACCATTCATTTTAGGACAAAAATTTCATGCAAGATCCTTTCTTTACATTACTTTCTGTTAACCTTTCTTACCTTACATTAACCTTTCTTACCAAAAACATATTTCTATATTCATTGTCCCTTTACATCTTTTTCTTACACAAGTGGAATTTTGTTTTTATTTTCTTTCTAAATTTATTCAGCCCTTATTAGACAAAGTTATACATTTTAATAAGAACATTCTGTTTTATAATTTTCTTATTAAAAATTATTCTTGGTACACCTTATATGTAGAATACATACAATGACTAGAATTCTTATTTTTAGTAACTTTAAATTTTATGAAAACTTTAAAAAGTAGGAAGTCATGAATTGTTTATCATAAGACACTTGTCATGAAACAAGATTGTAGGTTACTGTAAAATTATAGCCAAATTAATAATTCAAATATATATATATATATTTTTTTTGGACAGAGTCTCGCTTTGTTGCCCTGGCTAGAGTGAGTGCCGTGGCATCAGCCTAGCTCACAGCAACCTCAAACTCCTGGGCTCGAGCAATCCTTCTGCCTCAGCCTCCCCAGTAGCTGGGACTATAGGCATGCGCCACCATGCCCGGCTAATTTTTTATAATAATATCAGTTGGCCAATTAATTTCTTTCTATTTTATAGTACGGGGTCTCGCTCTTGCTCAGGCTGGTTTTGAATCCTGACCTTGAGCAATCGCCCGCTCGGCCTCCCAGAGACGGATTACGGCATGAGCCACCGCGCCGGCTATTTTTTTA